TCTGACAATAAGTAAAATGCATGATCTGTATAAAAAGCAGTGTGGAGTAGATTCTAAAAAACCTGTATCTATTTACAAGTACCGTCAGATTTTTTGTGATGAGTATAATCTGTCATTTTTTAAGCCCAAAAAAGATCAATGTACATTATGTACAGTCTATAAAACTAAAAGTGACATGGGCACATTGGATGATGAAACAAAACTAAAGTATGAAAAGCATCAAGAAAATAAAATCAAGGCAAGAGAAGAGAAGGAAAAAGACAAAATGAAAGCAAAGACAGAAAAGGAATCGTATACAGCAACCTTTGACTTACAATCAGTTCTAGAAACACCAAGTACATTAGCGGGAGAGTTGTTTTACTCAAGGAAACTCCATGCATACAATTTGTCTGTGTATTCCCTTGGCAATGGTGACACAATATGTTATGTTTGGGATGAAACTCAGGCTGGTAGAGGATCTTGTGAAATCTCAACATGTTTAATGAAAACCATTTTGTCAGTTACAGCATCAAACCCAAAACTAAAATATATAACATTCTATTCTGACACCTGTGGTGGTCAGAATAGAAATCAGTTTGTTGCAGTTGGTAATAAATATGCCTTACAGAAATGTCCTAATTTGGAAGAAATCAATCATAAATTTTTAGAGTCGGGCCATTCTTCCATGGAGTGCGACTCAGCACATGCCACCATTGAGCACGCAAAAAAATGCACAGATGTACACGTGCCATCGCAATGGCACACTGTCATTGCCATGGCAAGAAAACAAAATCCATACTATGTAGTGCCTATTAAGTATCACGATGTCAAAGATGTGAAAAAATTTATGAACAGATATTGTACTAATATGAAAATATCAACTAAAAACGAAAGAGTAAATTGGCTAAAAGTAAAGTGGATACAAAGCAGAAAATCAGTAGACAACTCAATATTCGTAAACTACACATTTGACCCGGCACAATTCATGGAAATCCGTGTTTTCAAACATTCAAGAAAGACAAATGAAAATCCTTGGGATGAAGCACTCACTGCAAGATACAAGTCAAAACTCCCCATATCAACACCAAAATATAGAGACCTGCTCTCCCTTTGTACCAAAGGCATCATACCTGAAGACTTCCACGATTATTACAAAAATATCTGTCACTTCAAAAATATCAAAAATTGTATCCCAATACCAGGGAGTGATGAGGAAGATGAAACTGATGATGAGTAACTAAGTATTGACTGAGGTTGAACTAGGGTTTTCGCAAAACTATTCACTTCACGTTTAGACCTGAATGTCAAAAGCTGTTTTATTAAGCAGTTTGACTTAATTAAGTGGCCTTATCCATATGTGTCATATATTATTATAATATTATATGTATTAAAGACCACAATATATGATATGTAAACATAAGATATTACATGTAGATGTAGTTCTATTTGTAACAAGGCAACACATTCACTGGAAAGATTACTTTTACACTTTGACTATGTATTTGTACTGTACAAGTTGCAAAATAAACAAGCAAATAAATGGTTAAACTTAACATTGTTTCATTGCATTTTTTACTTTTTATGTATATTTAGAGGATTCAAAACATTAAACTCAAAAATATAGAAGACCAATGTTGAATTTGAACCTTAATAAACTTGAAACAATAACAAAATTATGTAGAAACAAAAAGATTCATATTTAAGTTGAGACAAAATATAATCTCACGTTTACTAAAACTGATCAAAATCAAAAAGATTCATATTTAAGTTGAGACAAAATATAATCTCACGTTTACTAAAACTGATCAAAATCAAAAAGTCCCAACTACATTTTAATTAATTGCTCTTGATTAAGGAAATATTGTAAATTAATACTTGAGCATTATTGAAATATTGTAACAAGCACATCATCAATTTTTTCCTGAAATTATATGGTCAATAATGTGGAAGTAATAACCAATCAAAAACTTTAAATGCTTTTTTCTCAAATATACCTAAAATGAAGATGGGACTTTCTGACTCCAAGCCATCGACTGGTATGTCAAAATATAAATTCGTCGAAAAGAATTGCTATCGATGTGCTGGGATAATTGTCAGAATCGTTGCTGATGAGATGTAGCTGTAGTTGTTGAATTAAATATGATTATTTTTACTAGCTATAGTTTCTTTATGTTACTTGGACCAAATTTAATTTTTTGACCATTTGTTGGTCTATAAAATGTGTTAATTTGATTGGTCCACAGAACAACCAATAGTTATCTTACCAAATGACCTTAATATTATAATAACTATAACCTGCCAATTTCACTTACTACTCATTTACAACAAAGAAAGGGTACAGTCTGTGGGACTGTACATGGGAGCTGGTAAATAGCAGATGCTCCAACATATTTGAGCAATACATGTATATCAGAGTCTTCCTATAAATATTACATAGACATGAACGAATTCAGAATAAATCCCACCAATTGACCATGTTTGACCATTGCAGAAAATGGGGTTAAGCAATTTGATTTTTAAGCAGTGATTTTTAAATTCATTATTATTATTTGTTAATTTTTGTTATTAAATAATTTTCATACATTCTTGTTATCCATTCATAGTCTTTTTAGGGAGACCATTAAGGATAGACCTCCATTGTGATGGGCTATCAAGGTAACATATACTGAGAATGCCCAGAGAGCAAGAGTGACAGCTGGCTATCCTCTTAAAAGGTTGGAGGGATTTTGTTTGCAGACTCAAGAATTCCACAGACAATTGATCCATGAACAAGTTATTATGAACATGAAGTTGTTTGTATAATTTTTATGAACTCCATCCATATGCATATGCAATACCATATGGTAGTGTTAGTGAACTGCTATACTCTCATATTTTCATCTTTCTGATCACTTGTTAAGGTGGCTTATTATGATGTTTCCTCCACCATGCATTATAAATATTTAGAACAAAACTTGTAATTATGATACGAATCTTAATATAGAGATGTATTTTTATATACATTAAAGATTTGTTACATGCTTCAATGTATTTATTCATGGTTGAATCGTGCAGTATGAAGTACTGCATAAATATCAAACAGTTTGTAAGGCAGCATCTTGGTTCTAAAAGCCAAAGTGGACTAAACGTCAAAGTGGACTAAACGCCAAGTGGACTAAACTTCATCATGGAACAAAATTAATGCATGGAGCTCATGAGCTGATCAAACATTCTCTGACATTAATGAAAGAAAAGGAAAACATAAAGAGAAAGTTACCAGATGAAGAAAAAGAAAGCAAAATGAACCCAAGTATGAATCTAAGAGAACAGGACACAAAGAACAATTCAAGGTCAATAAAGAGATTCTGGAACAATTACATGTGGGACATGAAGCTCTAAAATCTGGAAATAAAGAATTGGTGACTGAAATAAATACATTATTTTGGCAGACAGCAGTGAATCAGTGCCAAATTATAATAGCATCAATGTTTTTCACTAAACTACCATGGCAACTAATTAGATGACAGACAAGTAGGCATCGTCTTAACCTACATGTATTATATAGCAGTATGAACCACAATAACCACAATGTTTCTGTGGCCAAGGTTTCGAGCCAAACTGTTTGAGAGATTCTTCTGAAATTTTCAGGGATGTTTCTATATATAAAGATTTAGAACTGACTGCGTATTTGGGTATTCTGGGTAAATGTTAAGGTGGCAATTTTGAATTCTTACTTCCTAAAATCTTGTCTGTAGGCTTGTCTACAGGTTTCCACCCAAACTGTTCCATGGATTCATCTTAAATTTCAGATATGTTTCTACTTCTGTTTCTTCAGCTTATAACTGATTAGTTTTTGGGTATTCTGAGTTAATATAAAGGTGGCCATCATTTTGGATTTACATAAAAACAACTGTCTATTTAATTCAAGGATGTGATTTGGTTCACTCTGTGCCTTGTTTAATGCCTATTAGTTTGTTTAATGCGTAGTAGTTATTATTTACAACAAAACCATCAGCTTGATGTTCTGAAATTAAGAAGGTGGGATTCAACAGATAATGCAAGACCTGATATTGTATGGGACATATACCCTAATGATAGTCTGAAGTTGGGAGTGAGGCAAAATAAAGGAAAGGGAAAAAAGACAAAAAAATTACCCTCAGACAACAATCCCGATTAATTTGACAGAATTCCTTCGAAATTAAAAGAACAAGAGCGAATATACACTGTATAAGCGCAAATGCCAAAGGGAAGGGTGACTAAAAACTTAAAAGAAACCTAACAAGAAAAGCAAACTGTAAGTGTAATTCTGTCATAAGAAAAGTAGACCCTATATATCCCAAAACCATGATCTAACGTAAAAAGAAACAATGTCTAACATCCCCCTCCCCCTCCAATCGAGAACCAATATCACAATCCAGGACTCGAACACAAAGGGACATTTTATTCATACTGAAGTCATTACAATACATGTTGAAGAAAAATTGAAAAAATTGATAGCCAATACTCATAACATCAAAAATAGTTGTAGATACAATGTACTAATACTCATAAAAAAGTATTCAGTCTCAAATGATGTGGGATAGATAAAATCTCGAAGTCCATAGGCAATTCAAGGGGTCAACATCTGTTCGCAAAGCCGTCCATAAAACACAACAATTCACAATGGTCATCAGGAATTAGATCTACTCTTTATTATTTGCAGATGGGCTATTAAACATCAAAGTTCCATCAAAGCTAGAGAATGCTCCTCCAACTTAGAGATGGTGTGCGTAAGGGTATAAACACATTTCTTATCCGTACAATTGACACTGATCTGGTTATTTGGTTTTGGCTATTGAGGCACCATCATCACTAGGACACTTATTCAGACCACTTTTGAAAAGGGAAGGCATTACATGTCATCGCTGCAGCCCTTGGTCCAAAAAGATCGAAATGTCTCCCAATGTTCCACACCTTACATGTGCGACAGTGTCTAGTTTTATAGGACATTCGAAAAGTGGAGCATTCAAGCATTGGTCTAAATATCCTGATGCCACCATCCTAGCATTAGCTGCTACACCAGAGGCACTGAACACTGACACTAGTGTAATTGTAGAGATTTTTGATCCTAATATACAACCCTTCTAGCAACCAGGTATCAGTCAATGAAGCAAGGCGAGAGATGTCCACCTGAAACACTAACAGACTTTGAGAGATTTCCAACAACTAAAAATGGGCTGTTACAGCATTCAAAGAGGGCAATACTTCAAGCCACATATATTTGGGGACAGTCTGCCACTAAGGACCCAAAGGTCCCCTCACCTGTAGATTGGGGCTGGGTAAAGCAGGATGATATATGGTGCCCCCTCTGGAGAGCATTTTCTCAAACAGCATATATATCCCAGATGCTTGTAAGATATTCATGCTCAAAGTCAAATTGTGCAACAAACTGCAGTTGCAGGAAAAAAGCAAAGTTTCACTGCACAGAACTTTGTGTTTGTAAAGGACTATGTGGTAACTCAGAAACAGGGTTGTGAACCTGAGGTAGTATCATAAGCTAGAAACAACACAGAGTAAAAGTTAAGTGTGAACAATCTTTGTATTTTGAATAGGGAAGTATACCTTCAACATTGTCTGTGATTTATTTATAAATACATTTTGGAGGAATAAAAAAACATTTGTTAGAATTTTCAAAATATTGATCTTAAAAGGTTAAAAAGGGACTTTGATATTTAATTCAGCTCAAATAATTTGAATGTAACAGATACTTTGTAGTTGTCAAAAATCAGTCAAAATCATCACAAATAGGCCTGACATCTAGAAATTTGTTCATCCCCTTACAGTGTTGCCGTTTCATATTCATGCGGTGTTACCGTTTTATTTTCATCCGACTCCATATACTACTGTATATTATATGTGTTTTAGCAGGAGCACAATTTTTATTATTAGTTTATATTCTTTCATTAATTTCATATTGAGATCTAAAGAGCAGTGTCCTCTTTTAATGAGCAGTGTCCTCTTTTTAATGATTTTCATCCCGTGAGTAATATTTTTTGAGTCAGAATTGGGGAACATGAGTGAATTGAGATTATTTTCTGTTTTATTGGCACTGCCGTAATAGCTGACAGTTTAGGGTTGGTCTCCACCCACTAATTTAAACATCCCCTGACCGATCATAAGATTTGTATGCTTTGCTCGGAAAGGCGAGTCTTGAGTTTGTTACTGGGAAGATAGGATGTTCTATATATCTATCAATTGATCAAGTCTCAAGTTTGCAATAGTAGAGTGAAGAAGGCATGAAGTTTATTTTATTTTGTAAGAGAAATTCATATACAGTATATGCAAGAAAAGTTGCTGGATTTGTCTATGTCTATGTCAATTATCTGCAAAAGGGAAATAAGCCCATATAAAGCAGATATATAATTTAACATTGATAGAATTTGAACAGAATATAATTTAAAACCATAACATTTAAAAATAGATCTATGGTTTACAACTCATTTTAAAATTGAAAGGAACCTTCCTGGTTGGCCCCTGTACCCCCCTAGGAAGTCCCTTTATGTTGAAATACCCTGGGGCGACTGCCAGGCTACCGCTTTGACATCTCCCCTCTTTACGAATTGTATTGGGAATTTGAATTAACATTATCTGATTACACACTATTGTAATATTGTGTACCTGTATTCTTTTGGATTATTTACCGTTTGGATTGCATGGATTAAACTTCGATTATAATTTATTCGATTACATCAATAGCATCTAATATTCCTGAAAACTCTTATACAACTACAAGGTAAATAAAATTTATTGTTGTTTTTATTGTTCTGAAATATTTTCCTCTGTTCATTCATTTATCCTTTCTAAAATAAATATGAGATCCATTAGAGCTTAATGAGATACCAAATAAAATACAAAATCCTTTCATACGAATCCACATATCTTAATAAATATGCTTTAGATAGATTGTAAAAAGGATTTCCACTCAGCCAAATTTATATCTCACCAGTGTTGATTATTTTTGAGTAATTTGGTTTCATACTGGTGAAATAAATTCAAACTTTTATAACTCTGCCACAGTATATTACTGACTTACAAATATAAATCATATAAAACTGATTTAATAAGCGCAGCCTAAAATAATACTGTATTAATTTTGAATGTCATGTGATTATAGGCACAGGTTGATCAGACCAAATTTTAATTAAAGTTGCAAAAACTTGAGACATGAGACATGTACCTTAAAAAGTAATTGATAAACAAGGAAGAAAGTGTCTCAACACTTGGTTGCTGGTCAGTTTCTGGCATAATGATGGTGTCTTACATGTATCAAGCAAAAACAAATAAAGCTTCTCATTGCCTCTACTATGCATGACTAGCTTGAGTTGATGCCTGATAGACCTGATAAAAATCCAGAAGTTTTAAACTTTTATTACAAAGAAAAGTCTTAGGTGGGTCTTGTTGACAAATATATAAGCACTAGTGCCAAAGGGAAAGGTCCAAAGGTTGTAATGGAACTTAGCAAGAAAAAGCAAACTCTAAGTGCATACCAGTTAAGAAAAAAAAAACATATAGCCCAAAACCATGATCTAACGTGAAAAGAAACAATGTCTAATACCCCCTTTCCCCCACCATTCAAGAATCAATATCACAATCCTAGACCAGAAGACCAAGGGACATTTCATTCATACTGAAGTCATTACAATACATGTTGAAGAAAAAATTAGAAATTGATAGCCAATACTCATAACCTCAAAAAAAATTGTTGTAGATACAAGATAGAGCATTCTTACCTTCAATATGTTTCAGATATCCAGTTTTTACCACTTATGACATTTCTTTGAACACTGACACGAGCCAGTACACCTCATAACTCCTGTATCATCACAGAACAGAACAGATATTTTTACTCTGATGGCCATTACACATGCTAATTTGAGGAAAAATAATGAGTAGTTTAAATTGAACATCTAAAATGAGTGCTTGGAAGAGTTTATATGCAACTATTTCAATGGTTCCCATGCAGAGGGTTGTATCAAGAAAAAGCATGCCAATATTGCAGCAAAGAGTGTTTTGGAGAGTTTAATGATAAAATATCAAACCCAGTCTACATGCAAAGAATAAGATTTGGCTATTGTGCATAGTACATGTAGAGAATATTTAGTTATACTCTAAACATGCATTGCTGATATTTATAGAAAAAACTAGCAATCTATCTGTTTAAGTGGGTCACATGGCAGCAAGCCTTCCTTTATATTGATCGTTTAACCTTGAATTTGAGGTGAACTTGTCCAAAGGCCTTGAAATGCCAAATACTTATATATTAGCTTTGACTTGACCTTGAACCATAAACATTGACCTTGACCTGAGTTCACCTAAGATTTATGGGTTGCCAAGGGTCATGGCTGCCCAAAGGACTTTAATTCACCAAATAACGAGAAATACCTAGATTGACCTTTGACCTAAAAAGACCTTGACATAAGGTCAGCTAATCCTGAGATGTTAATTGTCACAGCAAAGAACAAGGGTCTTAAAAAGTCAAAAACCTTGAAATTGAGCTTTGACATTAGAATGAATTTGATGACCTTCATGGTATGGAATGCCTAAAACATTTGACTTGGAAAGATCACCTCAGTAAACATGAAAATCTCCAGGACTATTGGCATTTATACAGGATAAAACATATTCTGAATATCGAAGGGTTTCTAAGTACTTACTACTCTCTGATTTATTCATACCTGGTCATCTCATCTGGTATTAATTACTACATAATGCATATATTTTATCTTGTTCCTCAGTTTGAGATATTTTTGATTGCAGAGATGGGTAAGAGCTTTTTGTGACAAAACCTTACATTTAAGGATCAACTCAAACAATGGAATCGAAAGGCAGAACTATGCCTTGAAGTCCGAGTACTTAGTTGGCTTTAAGAATTGTGGAATCACTCAGCTCGTGAAGGTCCTGATCGAGATGTTCCTTCCTAACACCTATGTCAAGTAAGAGTTTATTAAACATAGTTTCTTCACATATTTGTAAGAATCAAGTTTCACCAATTCTGACAAAACAGATTAATTTCAGTAACAAAGATTAGAAAGTGAAAGACAAGGGGTTAAATCAAACAAATTTTATTGTATTTCTAAAACAGTTTTACTGCAGTGATCAGTGAATGAAGAATTTAGTGAGAGTGAGTGCATGAGTAAAGATAGAGTGAATGAGTGAGTTAAAGAGAGTGAGTGAATGAGTTGAGAGTGAGTGAGTTTCTTGCAATTTTGTCACTACCTTTACAATCTATTTATGCCTTTAATATGACATAAAATTCACATCTCAATTCTGTTTGTAATGTTTGTAATGCGGTTTTCTTGACAGATATCAACGAAGCAATGTGAAGTTTTCTGCTGATCACAGAGCATACAATAAGAAGATCCTGAGCTTTCTTCATAACAGACCAGTGGCATATGTCAATCATATCATGGCCAGAAACACTGAAATCAGTCCTGCCTCGGTGACAAAGATAGGATTGAACCATTACACTGTCAAGAGCAGTGAGGGAAAGGAAGAGTACAGCATCCATCTCAATCCAGTAAGTTGCTCTTGTACAGATTTTATGACATACAAGCTTCCTTGTAAGCATCTGTGTGCTATAACTCGTTGTAGTGACATGTCATGGGATAGCCTGGGAGACTTGTTTAACAATCATCCATTGTATCGGCTAGACAACTGTGTGGTCAATCAGCAGCTTCATAGTAATGATTCTGATGAACCATTTGCTGATCCTACTGATCAAGAAATTCTCAATGCTGCTGAAAATTTGGAAGATAATGATGGGCCTGCCTCCCCATGTGTAGAAGTTGACAACTTGAAAAACCTCCCCCCTTCAAAGCCTCACAAAAGAAAACTTCACAATGTTCATAATGATTGCATAATGTCACTCAAGCAGTTACAGAATAGCATTTATCAAGTCAATGACATTGACATTCTTTTGACAGTTAAAGAAAATATAGACAAAATGATTGAGGACATAAAAAGCAACACCCCCAAAGAAAATGACTTGACGAAAAAACCAAAAAGGACACCAAAGAAGAATTACAAAAAGAAAAGTTCTACTGCGGGTATAGAAACAAACAAACTTCCAACAAGAAATTATGGCAGGAAGAAGCTGAAAGGTCTTGGAAGAAAAATACATCGATATGGACTTCAAGCTGACAAATACAAATCTTCCAGGATAAAAACCTTGGAGGAAGCCACCTATCAACCCCCTTCATGTCCTACACCCCCATCCCAGTCTCCCAAGAAGTCAGATCCAATAGAAGTAGTAGATGACGGTACTCCTGAAGTACCTGATAAGTGGTTGGAAATTGGTCGGATTTCTTTGAACATCAAAACTGACAAGAAAGCACTCTCTACAGCTGCATGGCTCAACGACAGCCACATAAATGCTGCCCAACACTTAATTCATGAAATGAATGTTGGCATTGATGGACTGACCAATACTTTAACTCTCAGACATAATGACATCTTCCCTGCTATTCCAGCTGAAGGAGAAGCCATCCAGATACACCATCTTGGAAACCACTGGGTGACTTCTTCTTCAGTTCAGACGAACGAGAATGAAAGGGTCATCACAGTTTATGATTCCAACAGTAGTTCCTGTGGTGCTGCACTGAGGCAGCAGCTTGTTTCTTTGTACAGGAAATACTGTATTTCGAAAGAAGATGAAGCGGATGGTGGGCTGTTGCAAGTAACGCACAGCAACAACCAAATGGTCATGACTGTGGGTTATTTGCAATTGCTAATGCAACAGCCCTTGCTCAAGGCATCCAACCAGACAACATCACATTTAAAACTAATGGTATTATAATGAGAAGCCATCTGGAAAGGTGTTTTGTCGCTGGAAAACTATTCATGTTCCCTCACACTACCTTGAATTCATCGTTGAAACAAGCAAGACACAAATTAAGCCTATATTGCAAGTGTCACAAACACACTGGAGGAGAAATGATCTATTGTGACACTTGCCTCAACTGGTTTCATTTTTCCTGCATGAAGCAAAATCTAACTGCCAGCGATATTGCAAGGCTTGCACTCAAGGAAAGTTATAAGTGCCCATACTGCTGTAAAAAAACTGAGATCAAGAATAATCTCCTAGGATCAAGGACAATCACCTATTATACAAAACAATCACCAAGGATGAAGAACAATTACCTACATGTAGGATCTAGAACAATCACCTTAGCTTCAAAACAATCACCCAGGATCAAGAACAACAAGCACTTAGGAGCAAGAACAAGCATCTAGGATCAAGAACAATCACCTAGGATCAAGAACAATCAGGTAATATCAATAACTAATTATTTTGGATCAAAAATAACCACTTAGCTGCAAGAACATCCCCTTAGGATCAAGAACAATTTATTTAGGACCAAGACCAATCACTTGGGTCAAGAAGAATCAATTAGGATCAAGAACACTCCCTTTGGATCAAGAACAATTTATTTAGGATCAAGACCAATCACTTAGGATCAAGAAAAATCAATTAAGATCAAGAACACTCCGTTGGGATCAAGAACAATTTATTTAGGATCAAGACCAATCACTTAAGATCAAGAAGAATCAATTAGGATCAAGAGCACCCCCTTGGGATCAAGAAGAACTTATTTAGGATCAAGACCAATCACTTAAGATGAAAAACAATCACCTAGGATCAAGAACAATCATGTAATATCAATGAAAAAATTATTTTGGATCTAAAATTTCCACTTAGCATCAAGAACACCTCCTTAAGATCAAGAACAAATTATTAAGGACCAATAACAATCACTTAGGATCAAGAATAATCATCTGGGATAAAAAACAACAACTAAACAATCACATGGGGACATGTTGAACCGAGACAAAATAACTTGGGATTAAGTATAATAAAAAAGAATCAAATACATAGGATCAAGAACAAGAAACACAAACATTCGAGCAAGAAGTAAGTAAGGGTATGTGACATTTACTTTAGGATATATAGATGCTGTTTTAATGCTACATCTGTATACCATGCACAGTTGTGTGAGCACACCATGAATTTAAATATTCCTGGACTGGGTTCAACTCCCAGATGACTGGGTATTGATTTGAAGCATTGACATTTTGACAATACTACTATACTAGTACTAATTTTTGCTTACCAAATATATTTTTGTCAAACTTTGGTGACTCACTGTCATCACATTTTTTTCAAAATACAAGTATATAAGAATTTTACATGCAGATGGTAACCAAGTTGGAAAATGCATATTGGATGAGCAACTTTCTTGCCAAAACAATAAAACATGTAGGTAAGACTTTTTATATTATTGTGCTTGGCTGTCTGGCCAACAAATATCAAAAAGATTCTTTTGAACCGTTTTATTTAGGGACAAATGAACTTTCCTTCAAATACTATTGGTCAGATTTTAAAAAGCCAATTGGCGAGAGTTTTGCTAACTCAGATAAAATATCATAAAAATATACAACATGTAAAACATATAATACTAGAAAAACAGCAACTCCACGGAGTAGCAACTCCACGGAGTAGCAACTCCACGGAGTAGCAAATCCCACCGAACAAAACATGTTTTGATAAAAAAAATTGAGCCAAATTCATCCACTGGTATTTGAATTATCAAAGATTATGTCTTTATGAAAAATGGCAGCCATTTTGAAATTTAGCTACTACCTTGAAAATCCCTTCTCGAGCAGAGCTCCTATGTCCCTAGGCATCATCATGTAAAATTTGAACCAAATCCATTCTATGGTAATTGAGTTATCAAAGATAATGTTTTTTATGAAAAATGGCGGCCATTTTGAAATTTAGCTGCCATCTTGAAAATCCTTTTTTGAGCAGAGCTCCTATGTCCCTAGGCATCAGCATCTAAAATTTAAACCAAATCCATTCAATGGTATTTGAGTTATCAAAGATAACGTTTTTTACCAAAAATGGCCGCCATTTTGAAATTTAGCTGCCATCTTGAAAATTCTTTCTCGAGCAGAGCTCCTATGTCCCTAGGCATCAGCATCTAACATTTGAACCGAATCCATTAAATTGTCTTGAGTTATCAAAGATAACGTTTTTTTACGAAAAATGGCCGCCATTTTGAAATTTGGTGGCCATCTTGAAAATGTCTTCTTCTTGAGAAAGGCTCCTTTGTACCAAGGCAACAGCATATAAAATTTGAACCAAATCCATCCACTAGTATTTGAGTTATCAAAGATTATATTTTTTCCTGAAAAATGGCCGTGGCCAAAAAAAAAAATTAAGCGGCCATATTGAAAATTCCTTCTCGAGCAGAGGTCCTACACCCATAAGGCATAAGCCTATAAAATTTGAATGAAATCCGTCAACCGGTATTTGAGTTATTGCCCGGACACTCGAAAGGACGGATGGACGAACGGACGGATGGACGAACGGACGAACGGATGGACGAACGGACGGACGAACGAACGGACGGACAAACGAACGGACGGACAGACGAACGGACGGACGGACGAACGGACGGACGGACGGACGAACGGACGGACGAACGGACGGACGGACGGACGAACGGACGGACGAACGGACGGACGAACGGACGAACGGACGGACGAACGGACGGACGGACGGCTTCTCTATATCCCCCTCGAACAGCACACTAAGTGATTTTTCCCGATCCAAAAATTTCTTCTGAGCCCTTGGTGTTCTTAATTCTAAGTGATTAATCTTGATCCTAGGTGATTGATCTTAAGTGATAATGTTTTTGATCCTTAGAAATATCCTCATGATCTTGATCTTTGGTATCTGTCTTGATCCTTAGGGATTGGGTCGATCCTAAACAATTTTACAGGTGATTGTTCTTAATCTTAAGTGATTGTTTTTATTACTTTAAATTTTTCTTGACTCTTCTGGGCAATTGTTTGGTTTTGATTCTTAATATTTTGTTTTGATACTGTGATTGTACTCAATTGTTCTAATCTTAGGTGATTGTCCCTGGTTTAGGTGATTGTTCCTGATCATAAGTGATTTACCTTGATCCTTGATATTTTTTCTTGACCTCCTGACCTCGACTTAAGTTTTTTATTGATATTCGGCATAATTTATTTGTTTCACGTATGTACTACATTGATAATTACTGAAATTAATTCTTCATTGCCCAGAAACAAAAAAACGGCAGATATCCATGAAATCTGGACAACTTTTTTCCCGCCATTTTAAATTTTGCAGGGAGGGGAATGCGAGAAGAACGGAACAGCCTGACCATTGAGTATACTGAACGAAACACTACAGACCCGGGGCATTGATCTCGAATATAACCCAGCTGAAGCATTGACTTTGTTCACAGTTTATAGTCTTTATAGGAGGTGTGAATATAGTCATGTTCATGTTAGAGTCTATATGTTTTTTAGCAATATCGATCGACTGGCCTCACAAAGCATAGAAATTGATAACATTATATAAGATTTTTCTTTGAAATCTGAATCAGAAACGATCTATTCTACTACATTTCCATCAACCAAACTCATCTTCTCCGTGTTGACAGATACCATGGGTATTTTTCAAATCAAAACAACCTTCAAAATGTGCATTTAGCGCCCAAAGAGCCATGATATTTCAAAATATTTCCATTTTGAATTTGCCCGACCTATTACATTGATCTAATGTTTTCTTTTTTTTGGTAATACATCGAAATTTATTGGACTTTGTAAAGCTAATTTCATACATGGTTCCATTGAAAATATCTGAAAACTTACCCTGATGAATTGTCACCCATGAAGAAATTTCGGGGCGGACTAGCAGACGATGCGCACCGCGGATTAATATAAAGAAATAATTTAGCATGCAAGAATGACAAATAGTTCCTTTGTAACCAATATTGCGCCCGATGTTTGACAGTTTTAAGAAAAATTAAGGGTTAGAAATGGCAAAACTATCAAAAAAATTAGTTAACCCAACACATTTCATGTCGATTGAATAAGATTCAATTGAAATATATTGTGGTAAACCCAAAATTAGAGTGAGATTACTTTTTGCACTACTTATGCATATTAATCCACCAACTTCCCCACTTTTCACAAAAACATTTGAACTATCAAGACGAACAAAATCAGAAGATGTATTTCCTAATATACTGGTATAAAGAAAGTTGTCAGTATAATGTACTTCCTGCAGAGTGTGTTGTTTCTGCGCCTCCCTATGCAGTTGGAATGAAAGTACAGGCCAAGATGAAGCAGCAAGCAAAGAAGTCATACCATGGCATGATTTTGGCAATGGACGGTAAGCCGCCATTTTGATTTTTTCAAGCCAATATTCCGAGGACCCAATGTAGAATTTTGACATACAAAAATCTTTTTTTTGTTGTTGTGTAGGCATTATATCTAAACACTGAAAATACTAAACTTCAAAAACGTTCAAATTCTGTCTTGTTTGATTTTCTAGAGAAAAAAGATGGCGATGGAATAGTACAAGCGGAACTGAAGTTGATGAAGGCACTGGACGAAGATGCTTCGACAGATGATATAGAAATTTTATTCACCGATGGAACTTCAATCTACACCCTCAAAGTCCAAAGTAGAAGAAACAGCCAAAGTCACTCCAAAAGTGAAAACACCATTGCCAAAGCCAAAGGTGAAGACACCGCAACAGAAAGCAAAGACTAAGACACCTCAATCGGAAGCCAGCACCTGCAGCAGTGGACATGGTGCAAAAAAGAGGCTCATTGATGATGATACGGATGTTGATGGAGACCCGTTTGACCTTGATCTAACATCACTGAGAGCAGGGTAAGGCATCCAACTTATTATTTTAATAACATTGTGTGATATACTAGTACGTTACTGTGATGCACCAACATTTATGATTTTTCATGAAACTTTTTAAAACCGCTGAAAGAATATTCATGCATCCATTTTCATACTATACTACTACCATAGTATATTCTTTAAAATGAATTAAAATTCATGGGTAAAAAATTCATGAAATTACAGGAATTAACAGTAATTACCATGAAGGAATATTCATTTAGTTTCGTGAATAATGATAATGTTAACTTTAAATACTAAATCAAAACTCCTGTTCTAAATTCTTGAAACTTTTAAAACGATGAAGGAATATTCATGCAGTTTCATAAAGAACATTTTTACTAGTATCTTAATGATGCATCAATATTCATGATTTTATATTCTTTAAAATTAATCAAAACTCCTGTTCTAAATTCTTAAGATGCATCAATATTCATAAAATTATATTCTTTTAAATGAATCAAAATACATGTATTGATATGAAAAGAAATTCATGAAAATACAGGAATTAAACAATCATTCCCATAAATGAATATTCATGTAGTTCCATAAATACTTTGAATCTTAATGATGCATCAATATTCATACTTTTGTGTTCCTTAAAATGAATCAAAATTCAAATTCTTAAGATGCATCAATATTCATACTATTATATTCTTTGAAATGATAATACAGGAATTTTTTAATCTTAATGATGCATCACTATTCATGCTTTAATGTTCTTTAAAATGCATAAAACTCTTGTTCTAAATTCTTAAGATTCATCAATATTCATAAAATTATATTCTTTTAAATGAATCAAAATACATGTATTGATATGAAAAGAAATTCATGAAAATACAGGAATTAAACAATCATTCCCATAAATGAATATTCATGCAGTTTCATAAATTCTAAATCTTAATGATGCATCAATATTCATGCTTTTGTGTTCCTTAACTCATTCAATACTGGGGCAAAAAGCACTAATATACTGAAGAATTTTTGAAAATTCCTATATATGGTACCTATGAGATAATATATAAAAAATATACATGGGCATAAATATGTAGTGTTATATATCATTTTAAAGCATATGATATACTCCGTCAGAATCAATACGTTTTTAAGTCCCATTTTATAGGTTGTCATGGTTACAAGATTCCAAAAAAATACATTGGGTTTGTGCTTGGACGTGATATCACGTCATTCGTAGTCAACGTATGTGCTTTATGACGTCATATCACGTCATTCGTAGCGAATGAGTTAAAATGAATCAAAATTCAAATTCTTAAGATGCATCAATATTCACATAATTATATTCTTTGAAATGAATCAAAATACATGTACTGATATGAAAAGAAATTCATGAAAATACAGGAATTTAACAGTCATTCCCATAAATGAATGTTCGTGTAGTTTCATAAACTGATAAATACTTTGAATCTTAATGATTCATCAATATTCATGCTTTTGTGTTGCTAAAATGAATCAAAATTCACATTCTTAAGATGCATCAATATTCATATTATTATATTCTTTGAAATGAATCAAAATACATTAATGTACTGATATGAAAAGAAATTCATGAAAATACAGGAATTAAACAATCATTCCCATAAATGAATATTCATGTAGTTTCATAAATACTTTGAATCTTAATATTGCATCAATATTCATGCTTTTATGTTCATCAAAATGAATTAAAAACTCTTGTTCTAAATTCTTAAGATGCATCAATATTCATATTATTATATTCTTTGAAATGAATCAAAAATCATGTTCTAAATTCTTAAGATGCATCAATATTCATATAATTATATTCTTTGAAATGAATCAAGATACATGTACTGATATGACATGTATGAAAAGAAATTCATGAAAATACAGGAATTAAACAATCAATCATTTCCATAAAAAATGAATGTTCATGTAGTTTCATAAATATTTTGAATCTTAATATTGCATCAATATTCATGACTTTATATTCTTTAAAATGAATTGGCATTCTCATTTTTCTTCTTTCAATTATTCAATTGCTATTTTTATCATTTCTTTTCAGTTACAAAGCACTGAATAAAAAGGTGAAGCTTCTGTGGCAATGGAAGGAGAAAGTTGAAAGTGCCAGTGGAACATGTGGAACAAGCAAGGACGATGAGTCCGCATATGATCTTGTTAAAAATCAATCCAAAAACTCACACGAAACAGCCAGATTCTTAATGCATAAATACTTCACGGAACAAGAACTTATTGAACACTCTCTAACTGGAAAAACAGCTTCACGGTCTAATGTTTCAAGACCTCCCCTCAACCAAGGGAAGGTCAGGGCGATATTGGGAGCCATGGAAAGGCATTGTGGCATAAGTACAAGTGAAGCAAAGCAAAAGTTACAAAATATCGCTAAACCCCTAAGGGCAAAGCTAAAAAAAAATTAGCATCTAGATTGTAGAGGCATGCTCCAACCACTAAGCATCCAACAGTCCACAATGTGGAGTGGCTTTGTTATGAGTATGTATTCAGCCTAACATAGAAATAAAGTTGAACAAAACAACTAGATTGCATGACTTAGTTAGTTATATTATATTAAACTATAAGTATTCATATATTACATTCACATAATCATATATTCAGTATACATGGTATAAGAGTTTCAGGAAATACAACATTCTTATTTTAGATCAATATAATCTATTCAGTACAGCAGTATTACAAGATATTCATTAATTTGTATAAGACACAAAATTAATACTGTAGATACACTTAATTTGGCTACCGCTTTAATTTGACGGATTGGCGGATTAAAAAAAAATTCGCCAAATTAAAAATCCGCCAATTTTCAGGTGTATTTTGGAAAATCTCAAAATCACTGAAACTAGACTAAGATTCCACTTGTGTAAGCCTTCCTATTTGGATTTCATTGCTATACCAAGACTTACTGTAAGTTGTACACATGAATCTGAAATGTTTATTTCCCAGATCAATGATAAAACTTAAACATAGTCCTGAATCCGCCAAATTAAATAGCCGCCAATATGTGAAATTGAGCAAATCCGCCAAATTAAGTAGCGTCAAATTAAGTGTATCTACAGTACTAGAATCTCTAATCCTGAAGGATTATTCATCTAGTTTCATAGAATAAACATATCCTTTATGATGCATCATTTGATATTTCAAATGAATAAAATTCAATAACTAGAATGACAAGAAAATCATTTTTATTCTTGAAATTTATTTTGAGCCATATTCTTGATGATGCATCAATATTCATCATCTCATACTAGTATATTCTTTAAAATAAAAAATGAAGATTCAGGTATATTCATAAATATATCAAAAATATGAATTTTAATGAATACACAGTTTAAAAAAATTCTTTATGAATAATGATGAACAAAAGAACAACTGGATTTCATGAATAATGATGAACTCGAATATTCAGGTATATTCTTCATGTCTAAGGGTTGAATAATATTGAATGATCCCAAATGTCCAAATTGTAGTTCATGCCATTTTCATGAAAATTCATGAATAATTATACTTCAATATTCTTTTTCGATGCATATTCTTGAATTTTTATGCATGAATATTCCTGTAATATACAGGAATATTCATGAATTATTCACCATACTTTCAACGAGGTTACGCGTGAGAAAACCAATGTCCACCCAGTCCACTCAATAAATGACATTGGATTCCTGGCTGAAAGAAAAGCAGTGAACACTTATGACAAACAGTGATATAACCTCCATGAGTATTAGCATGGGTAACTAACAATTTATCATATTCTACAGCAAAATCTCAGGATTATATTCAAGAGTGCCAAGGCTACAAACAATATCAGGATGTATTACATACCTAGCGAAGCATTTGTATGGAAGTCAATGGGAAAGTTAGCGAGCTATATCCACCGATATTGCCCGATTACCCCGATATAGCCCGCTTACCTCGTTTTGATATTAGATTTCTTTAATAACCATGATAATATCATGATGTCACGTCATTGATACAAAGTAACCATGGGAACAAAGGCATGTAATACATCAGTTATGTCACTATGACGTGAAATATGCCTTCGTTCTTGCCCAAATATAGAGCCTCCCAAGGTCGGCCTATATTGGGAGAACTTGGGAGAACGCATATTTCACGTCATAGTGACATAACCTCTAAATATACTCCAAAGTGAAACAATTTTTATTTCAGGAACTACACAAGTGTTACCACTGATACCTGAGAAATATAATAGTGCAACAGTGTATATATCAGGATATATTTATACAACCAGTGATACCGGATGAATATAATAGTGCAACAATCTACATCTCAGGATCTATTTATAATAATAACTACTGATACCTGAAGATTATAATAGTCCAACAACCTACATTGCAGGATCTATTTATAATAGCCACTGATACCCAAGGAACAATATGCCAACATCTGCCAATATGCATCAAGAACATTTGCCAGAACTTAACATTTTGCAAGTTGGCTATATAAACTATGTCATTGTGCATATAAGTGATATATGTAGAGAATTAATACATTGTCAATGACAGCCCAGGTTTCTATATATATATGTATTGTAAAGCTAGTTGATCTATAGGTACTATATAATGTATATATTGAATCTTTATAGATACTAGGTAAGTTATTGATGATGTCTGAGAAAGACCAGGTATTAGTGAGTATAGAACTATTGGTTTTATTATATAAAGAAATACTAAGGTATTTTACGAGTGATAATCAGTATTACCGAGCATGATAATGCTTTACATGAAACAAAAGACAATGCATAAAGTAGGATATTAAACAAGTTGTTACAGGAACAACAGTATTAGTACTGAAATAGTCAGTACCTTGGGTGCATAGTTTATATATTTTTCAGGAAATAAACCTGACTTTGCGATTTTTATATTTTTAATGCTCATTTATACCAACTGGTTCAGCAATAATGTAATTGATAATTTGCTAGTCAAAAGAACCAGGTAGTGTAGTTAGTTATTTTTATATGTATTTTTCTACATTTTTCAACATTTCCAGAATCTCACAGTGAAGATCTGCATGTAAAGGTATTTTCATGACTTGCCTTGATGTACAGTTTAGCTTAAGGTTTGAACATATATACATCTATATTAGTTTGGCTATCAAAGTTCGAGGCAAAAAAGGATACAGTTGGTCCAAACTATATTCAGGATGTGAAGAAAATTCAAGAGATGTGGTGTAAAGAACTATAACTAATAGATGACTGATTGTTTGCAAAAAATATGAAGAGCAAAATACATTCCGAAATCCTGGTAAAAAAACATTCAAAACTGATAGATGGTGAGGAGAATTCCGGGGATCAATCAGACTTGGATTCAACTGGCGATTCAATTAATTTATCTTTGACTAACATATCCACTATGGATTGTAATGACTTAAGTATGAATGAAATGTCCCTTGGTGTTCTGGTCCTGGATTGTGATATTGGTTCTCGATTGGAGGGGGGAGGGGGATGTTAGACATTGTTTCTTTTCACGTTAGATCATGGTTTTGGGATATATAGGGTCTACTTTTCTTATGACAGATTTACACTAACAGTTTGCTTTTCTTGTTGGGATTCTTTAAAGTTTTAAATCACCCTTCCCTTTGGCATTTGTGCTTATATATACATACTTCTCCAATTAAAAAAGCAAAAAGTGATCCAACTGAATCGCTTATGGAAATTTAGTTTTCTACAAAGTACTCCAAAAAAGAGTGACAATTCCACTCAGTTCTCCTGGAAAAGAAAAATGTGACAATGATGAAGAGACAATCAGTACAGAACATCAAAAGCGCATGTACGATGTCAAAGCCAGTGGTCACAGGATCTGGTGGTCAAGTCTGGTCAAACACCAAAATTTCTTAATCCATGGACAGGGCCATACAGGGTGACAGATATATTATCTGACTCAGTTTTTCAAATCCTAGTAAAAAACAAGTTCAAGGTCAAATCAATTGAAGAAATTTCAAGGGGAATTGCCAGAGTCAGGGGAAGACCTCCTGGAAAATCCTATCAGTGACATAAGGCCTGCTTTTGATGATTTTATTGCAGGAAATTCTGTTGAGAATCATCCGGAAGAAGTCCCATCTCAGCCAGAGCCTTCTGAGATTGCCCCAGCTAGACGACGGAGAAAACTCGCGTGGTTGAAAGATTACCAACTTTTGGCTTACTTATTTATGTTGTTTATTTTCTTTGCTTCCAGTCTGTAAGTCAAAAATACAAAAAGTATGGGGTGAGGTGTAGAGTCACTTTCCAGACACAAACTGAACTTAAAAACACATTGAACTGAATCATGAGTATCTTAACTGTGATGTGTTGGGTTGCAAAGTGAAAGTGCCAAAACGCAGCCCTCAAAAGTTTGATAGGCATCAAACGAATTGCCTTGCAAGGGCCTCTGCCAATCTGACAGGCCAATTACTGTCACCAGAGGTTAGACTGAAACCTTGGGACGGTAATAAAATTCAGGAGAAATGCCCTAAGGACATGTTCGACGACTCTGATAACAAGACAGTTATTTATGACCCTCTGAAAGAAGTAACATTTGATCAAATGACAACTGAAGTAAAACAACTCAAAAACAATAAATATGTAGATGTGCTACAAGATGCCATCCAATGTCATCTACCAGCCAACAAGCCAACAGTTTCCGATAAATCTGACACCGGTTCAGCTTCTCCTATGCCGACTCAAAAGGCTGAGTCCATCTATACTCAGAAGGATGAACCAGCCATTTCTGAAAAGAATGAATCAGAGCCAGAGAAAGCGCCATCTTAGGAAGAAAATCTCAACAAGTACATTAAATCATTTGACAAAATAGTAGGGCAAGACAAGCCCATTATTGCCCCAGCAGTGCAAGACACACGTAAAGTATATATAATAACTAAAAAATCCCAAAGTGCCACTACCTCATCTAAAACTCATAAAGCAAAATCGGATTCAAAGGCCAAGATAAACACTTCCTCTACAAAGTGTTGGTTCAAACTGTTAGATCAACAATTACATGGCAAAATTACAATGTAGCAGAGAGGAGATGAATCTGATGTGTATGCAGTAGCTAGCGCTAAAAAGGTGCCAAAAGGAAAACATTATGACCGTAGAGTTTGAGCCATTAAATTTGCCTTTGAGTCATTCTCCAGACTATACATTGCAGCAGCAGATGACTGGCTGAAGAATAATGGCATATCCCTTATAAGTGATGAATGCAAAGACTTGATTGAGCAGTTCCAGAAGGCTGTAAATGAGAAAGAGGATGCTGGTGGCATCATCATTCAACTGTACTGGGATACTGGGGTGACCTTTTGGATGCCTCTGATGTTCTTCTGTGTCTACTAAGAGCAGAACATACAGCTTATTTTTCAATGAACTTAATTCCAAACACAATGAGCGAAAAATCATTGTAACCAAAGCATGTTGATCATCAATAAAGGCTATTAAACTAAATCATGTAGGAGCAATTAGTAACAGATTACAGTACTATTGTAGTACATTCCATATAGAACA